GCAGAGCAATAATTTTAAGTGTACGTATGGTGAAATCAAGAAGCACCTTGATTGTTCGATCACACATATATAGATGCAGCATGCAAAGACATACACATATGAGTTAGGCTTGTCACTTGTGTATACGTTCATATACATGTGGATCGATGTGTGTTACATATCACATGACGTACTACTCACCATGAAACATACAGAACCTAATCTTACCAATTGCAATAAGACACGTGTCATATGGAGGCTAAAAATAGATAGCTTTCGGTACAGTTCTCGTAGCCTTTATTACAATTTTTTTTCCATTTTTGGGCATCGCCAACTCGACGTGAGCCTAACTTCACGAACCAAAACCACAACCTTTAATACGAAGATATCGACATGATTAAATAAAAGTAAAATATATTTAAATAATGGTTCACTTTCATTGATATATCTATCCATACTTCAAAACCTTAAATAAAATCCCAACATGAGATGAAAAGTATGAGCTAGGAACGTGATAAGTAATTGAGCCGCAATGATATAGATTGATATGATAATAAAGCCAAAAAGAGTCGACTATATGACACATATTCGTAGAAATTGTGTATATATATGTGTGTGGATTTATTATTATGTGTATGGAATTATTATTTGTATAAATCGGGTGGAATAATTGGAAATTGGGACATGATGTTAGGTTTGGAAGTGTTAAGCACTATAGCAAGACGGCAAAAGCATTAAAGGTTTACCGAACTTTTTAACTTTAAGTCTTTAGCCAACGACACACTTTGTCCAAATGAAGCATGTGTAAAGGATAATTCCAAGCTCCACTTCCTCTTCTCTATGCATTGGCTAGAATAGGAATAAATAAGAAAACAAAACTAATAATATTCCAGTTATTGTTTTTTTTTATAATTAGAAACCGTGTTTTCTATATACTTTTTCTGGAATTTTAAATAGCTATATGGAATTTATCCTAGGTAAAATAAGAGTGCATACAATTAAAGTTAATCTCTATAATCTAATTATTTTGTAAACGATGTCAACAAAAAATGAAACTATTTTTTTTTTAATATTGACGGTGTACATAGACGGAATACATCATTTATATAGTTCTTTCAATGTGATTTCAATCATGGTTGAAAGTGTTTTGAATGACAAAAGTATGTGGTTCTTTTATTTTCACCTACTCTAGAAATTAGGGTAGAATTTGGTCTTTGTTCTGAATCCTCCCGTTATTAAAAATATACAAAATTATGGTTAAGAATGAACCAAGTCGCCATTAAAATCTAAATATTGTGTCGTTAGTGTTTTAAACGTATAATTTATTTGAAAAATCATAAGTTATATATGCCTCTTGTGATAAAAAGATTCGAGTATTGAATATGCCTGGTGTGTTATTATCGCATAAATATATTTATAAGATCGAATATGATATTGTTTCCGATGTCATATAATAAACTACACAATGGTCGAGTTTATGCATATTACATGACGTGTTTTGAATTTCAATCGTTAAAGAATTTATATTGAAAAGCTAGTTGGTAATGAATATAGTAGAAGATATATATGGTAGATACTAGATTTACTATATAAAATGTTTTCTTATGTAAGAGCATGATTAACGGGAAACTTTTATAGAGTATC